AACGCAAGCGAAACATAAGTGGAACCACCTATTGGTGTGACACCCAAGTCAACTTGCCAAGTTTTTATGTCAGTGTTGGTGGTTTGACCAATCAACAGACAACTGCGGTAACAGAAATTTGGGAAGCTAACCTGAAATGCCATCGGAAAACGAATCCACATGTTTCTAGAAATTATGTATTTCATGTACAACATTTCGTCTGTATTCTTGTCCAGTAGTATAATTTCGAACCTGCACATCACTGTCCTTCTTTGAAACAACCACATACGGTGTACCATCACAGTTTGGAGTCAGTTTATTGCCCTTGACCATATTTTGAATATAAACCTTGTCACCCGGTCTTATATCCCTTTCTGTGGCTTCTTTTTTCTTGTCACTATAGTTTTTTCCCTCCTCTTTTCTGATTTAGTCCCTGTCTCTAAGCTCGTCATGATTGTCAGAATGAGGAGTTGACAGACTAGGAATTTTATACCTAAACTGCCTTTGTTTCCAGTCTTCTTTTGTTGCCTGGTTTGTCTTGAGTTTTTTAGGATGTCCTTGTTTCGTCTTGCAACCACTCCAAACTACATCAGAGCTTCCAAGCAGTGCACAAGTACATTTTCAAAATTTTGGAAATTGTTCAATAGCGTTAACTTCCAAACCAATTTTAAGGTCGTCATAGCAGTTGATTTTCCGAGAAGGCACCAATAGAACCATTTTTTATTACGTAAAAAAGTCGCTGTCTCTATATTTGTGATTTCTATTGTGATTTTCGATGTGAAAGAACTTATTATTTTCAGAGATTATTTGCTTCTGGTAGCAAAAAGCAATTTTTTCTGGGTTCCTCACTCGGTCCCAGACCTTAATTTTTTTTTCTTCAGGTTAGCCCAAGTTTGATCATACAGTATATTACTTTCACTTTCAGTATCAATCAGCATATCAATGACAACTCCCCAATGTTACACGCCATAACACTGTCGACATAATCGATTTCTTCCTCCATGGCAGTATTTTTTGAAGAGTTGTCGGATATGTTTTTCCTTATTTTCGCTGGCCTGAAAAATTGTTATGTTGGTATTTCTTTGGATTAGTTCGACAGTAATATTGATGCCCTTTGTACCCGCATTTACTACATGATTTCAACTTAGCAGGACACTTTATAGAATCTGAAGGATGATTTCGGCCACAACGTGAACATCCTTTCGAGCGAGAAATGTGGTTCACCTCCACCATCTTTTATGATTTGAGGTCAACAAAACCTTCCAACTGCCTATTGACGGTGTCAAGAGCGTTGGCTACTGCAATCATTTCATTGAGATTTATTGCATCACCAGTGGCAAGAATTTTTTTCCAGAGTTCTACCGATGTGCATTTTTCTACGATTTGATCTATCATATGTTCATTTACACGTGTTAGCTCGCATAATTTTCTCAACTTCTGAGAGTTGTCGTTAATATGGGGGCGACAGCTGATTACCGGAAAAAAAAGATGTTTTAAACATTAGTAAATTAACACTTAGCTGCATGGTTTCTAAGTCGAACCATAAATTTTTAAAAATTTTCCCCTGATTTTGCTTTGTCAGACGGAAAAGATGACGTTCATATATATTTGACTGCTTTGGATAGAAGTACTCGTTTAATTTATCAACTGCTACTTTGTACACATACACCTCTGTATCATCACTGGGTTGGATATGTACCCCCGGGAGGTTGTAATACACCTCCTATAGTGGGCTTTTAGCGCAACGAAGGAGGGTTGCTCTCTTCTTTGTTTCATTTTCGATGGCATTTCGTTGGCATTGTCGCCAACAGAAGCTGGCTCGCCTTCACATTGAAAAGGTTGAATGATCACAAGGTTTGCAATGTTGTGAGTCACAAAGCCCTGTGGATAAATTCCACTTTTACAGTTTGAACATTATCAAACAATGCACATACAGGCCAATAAATACCCCCTACAGTTTGACTAGTTTATCCTTGCCTTATCAACACATTATAGCACCATTTTCAAAATAGGTACGTAGTTTACTTTTTTGTTTTCGACATTTTGTTATGTCTATAGTTTCACAATTATTTCATTGTCATTGTCAATTATTTTTTTCGATCTCTGAGTAGGCTTTGGATTGATGGAGAGTTTTTCACCCTTTTTGACATCTTGTGTGCCAATCATACTAATTCAACACTGTTTCGTGATTCACTTATTTTCAATAACGATTACACGGGTTATATTACCTGCATGCCTTAGCATTAGTTATTTAAGCGTAAATGCTCGGATGAGATATCGTTCCACTTACTTTGTGTATTGAAAGATATCCAAATAATTCTCGTCGCCACTTGTAGAATACTCAATGGGAAACAATAAATAAACACTCGTCACTTTACTGACTATACCGCTTTATTCGGTTATCTGTACAGAACTGAGCTCTCTCCTCTCCAGAGTTAAGTACCAACCTTATTCATCATTCAGGATGACTTCAATTATCAGTAAATCCTTACGGTATGCATACACTACAAATATTATATCTACGTCGACAAAATTGATCGGGGCGTGTAAATGGTTATTTATTTATGATAAATATCATAAGACTAACCTAACTACCAATTTCAACAACGTGAAATGCCAGTAATATAACGGAAGGAAAACTTGATCTACCCATTGAAACAATTAGAGCATTAGCGATGGAAAATTGAAAAAAAAAAGGTAGAGTTTTAGTCGACAATGCTATTTGGTTAGATCTATCTGAGAGTAGTATATGAATAACACTCTAAAACCGGGCTGTAGATGATTTTTATTGTTTTCAGTGGGGTGCTCATGTACGAATACTGAACATCTTGAAGAATTTTTGTGACCCTATCTTTATTGGTTGTTTTCACAGAATCGCTTGATAGTTCTACCTATGCTCTCTCTCGGTAGACAGTGAAATTTTGGTGTCTTTCATCACAACACTTCAACATAGGCACATCAAACAATATTCTTTCATATTCGATCTTCAAAAATTTGTTCTTTATATCTACCACAAATCCATAAGCAGGCAATCAAATCTTAGGTTCAACTCGTGAAATTTATCGGTTTCTAAAACATAGTACTTGGATCACACATTCCAAATTCGATTCTCACTGACCGTCTCTCACCGCGTGTTTCGTTTATCATCTTATCATCATCAGAAGGTGCCTCAAGTTATGAGTGAAGTTATCATCAGGAGATGACTAAAGTTATCTCCTCAGATGTCTTTTCTATAGTTGATGCTTCAATGTACAGTAAATATAACCGCAAAATATTATTTTGAAACTTTTTTGAAAATGTCCTCTTCTGAAAAGCAGATGATTGAAATTTCAAATCATGATGGGTCTTGACGATTGGAATTCGGACTCAATAAAATGTATTTAGATTATTCCATGTCGTGTAAATAGTTTACTATCAACTGTATATGCAGATTGAAGTGAAATTCGGGACATATTAGAGATGGACCAAAGTGAAGTTGAAGATATGTTTTTTCCGTTAACCAACTGTCGCACCTCCACGAACGACAACCCTCAGAAGTTGAAACATGTGGTAGCTGAGGACTAACGGGGTCTCATCTTCCAACGTGTGATTCCTAACACGGGTTGGAAGATAGCAAGTGGAAATCTATCGTTCTGCCTGGGGCTTGAACCACGGACCAACACGGCGGTCGATTTGAGCAGGTGAATAAAGCATCCACGTCGAATCGACCGGCTACCGACTCAAATTTCATTACACATTCAACAAGATGTAATATTGTCTGCAGTTGAGAAACTACTATTACATTGTGCAGTGCAAGGACCATCTAGGGATTCGAATATTGGAAAGTGTTCAATAAAGAACATTTGTAAATAGATAGAATACCATCCTTTTGAACTACGTGTCATCTTTAGAACGGCTGAAAACGACTTTTACCGAAGAACTTGATTATGTGTATATATAAGGGATCGAAATGAAATGAATTACAATTTCGTCACTATATTTCAATTCGAAACGAAGTTATTAGAACGTGCATGTTAGTCGGTAAAAGATCCTTCATTGGTCAGATAAAAATCCACATTGGATGCAAAAATATCATTTGCAAATTTCATTAGTTTGGACTTTCATTATCTAATATGGTATAAAATGATTTGAAATCCCTGAAAGTATCATTAAAATTAAAATGGATAGCTAAAAAGAAGAATTATATCAAGCAAAAAAAAACAAAAAAACGAGAATGAAATTACAACAAAATTGAATTCAAGCAAAAATTAAAAAAAGATCTTCAACGAAATGATTACTCCAAAGTGATGGTAGAACAGACTTTGGCTGAAAGACAGCAAGAGCCTAGTAAGGAAGAGAAGCCGTCACAACCAGTACGTGTACTTCCCTACATCAGATGATTGTCGAAAAGGATAAGAAGAATTGAGTCCAAGTACATCATCAGAATCTGCTTCAGATCCGGAAACAGTACCCGTAGCATCCTTACCAAAACCAGAAACCAAACGCGGACTGCGATTTTGAGAATTACATTTACCGGATACCTTGCGAGTGCGGAAAATCCTATATCGGTGAAATTGAGAGGTCATTGGAAGTCCGCATTGCCGAGCACAAGCAACACATACAGCGAGGAGAAACCAGAAAATCGAGAATAGCAGAGCATGTCTGTACTCATCATCATAACATAAAGTTGTCCCAAGCTGATATCATCCACAAGGAGGAACACTGGTTTAAGAGGAAATTCAAAAAGACCGCATATATGTTGTGCAAGAACGTATTCAACCAAGCAAACGTAAAAATTCGCAACATATATGGAAACCCATAATAAAGCGAAAAACGGCCAACTCCCGCCAAACGGTCCGCTCCCGCTTAACCGGTGAAGCGGAGAGAGAAAAGGAGGGTTAGGTGAAAGCACTCGAATGACCTATGAATAGTCATCTCTCGGAGAAATAAGTCCAGTCATCACCCGAAGACGATTGTGGATACTAACAATCGAAACGTCGTGAAGTAACTTGGCCTGAAATCTTTTAATTTTCATTTCTTCTTCATTGCTCAATTTTCAATTGTTGCTTGTATTCAATTTTATTGTTATTTCATTTCAGGGTTTTTTTTCTGCTTATTACAATTGTTATTTTCAGCTATTCATTTTAATTTTATTGATTCTTTCAAGGATGTCAGATCATTTTATATCGTATTAGTCAATGGAAGGCCGAACTAATGAAATTCACCATTAAACATTGTCAACCACCTTCAAACAATATCATTTGCAACGATCACCAAAAGTCAATATCTGATGTGTGAAACACAGCCTTTGGCCCATATTTCATGGAACTTCTACAGCATTGTATCTGGATTTCTTACAAACTTCATTTATTAATGAATTGATCAAGATTTCTTGATATTCAGATTTCCAAACTTCAGTATCTGTTGTTTCCGACGGTTACACAATAATAGAAAGCTCAAATTTGACACATATATATCTCACAACGCAAGGCAACGAATATGAAGAGTTTTTTCGAAATTCTTCTCTAGGAGGGTGAAACTAGGGCTGGATCTTGTTTCGAAGCTGCCATCATTTCTAACATTATGAATATGAAACTCGATATTTTGCATCTGGGTTGGTTTAGAAGGGCATCCATATCTGAGATTTTCCAAATTCTACCCTTATGGAAGTGAAAACTTGGGGCTGCATGTTCTTATCACACATCCGTTATTTTTCACGTTATGCAGAGCCTTCTTGTAAGATAGGAAATTACACTTTCATAAGGGAGTCTCGAATTTCTATCTCAAAGGAGATGAGAAGTGGACTAGACATTAGAAACACAAAACTCGGTAAAAAGTTCCATATTCAGATAGAAAATGAAACATATCGATACCGAAGGTTAATAAACTGTTCATCTCCAAAGGTTAAGATTATTAAAGGAAGCCAAAAAACGTTTCAAAACATTAAGTCGTCGTTATATAGTTTAGTGTTGATTATTACATAGCGTATATACGTTTTGTGGATAATTTGACTATACTAACATTTAGGTTTGCGTGATTTTCCTCCAGAGCATTCGAAATTGTGACATTTGCAAAAATGGGGATAGTTTTGAAAATTATTTTTTTTCAGATACTGCTTTAACCATCATATAAAATGTTGTGGTCTGCCAAAAATCAACACTTAAGGCGAGCGAGACCCTCTGATACATTTGGTTAAATACTCGAGAACCCTTATACCTGTTTTTTTCACTTACCTACTTGTAAGGGATGAAAGGGAGTCAGAGCCCTTTCATGGTTCGAAGACAGCTCAAAAATTTGGCTTGTCTCGGCTCGAGATCTTCCGGTTCGGTTCGGGGTCGATTGGATGCGGTTCAGTTCGAAAGTCGGCTCGAAATCGAAACGAGCCGAGCTTCGGATCTTGATCGAATACATTTCCAAATGTCATTGATACATTTTGTTACCTTCATCCATTCAATTATCATTACGTAAACATCACAGTAACTTATTACTTCTTCAATAAATTTTTCCACCATATTCCACCACATATCATTTCAATGCAATTTACACATACCTCGTAATTACCTAGAGCATCTACTCAATTTTTATATACCCCAGGTAAATTCTCAAATATGATTACCCAGAGCATATTAGAAACCAATGTTATCCTAGTCTTCATAGATATATTATTATTGATGTAGAATTGATATAATATTATGCTAAAGGTAATCATAATTGAGGATATACCTGAAGTATATTTTATTTACACTGAATAAGTGTAAATAAAATATACCAATTACCCCACAATGGTTCTTTCGTTTTTCTCAAATATTTATTACTGATGTAGTCCGGGTTCAGAAATCAAAATTTCCCAACAAATGTCTTTGGCAGCACTGAGAGATTTGTTAAAGTGGTGTTGAGAACTGTTTACCTTAGATATCTGAAAAAAAAATGCAATAGTAAAAGAACAGGTGATACCCTACCAGTTAAGGCAATTGAGGTTTGCACAATTCGAATGTATCCCTAACCATATCACGTCATCCTAGTAATTACAGTTATGTCCGATTACTTCAACTTCCAACATAAACATGTGTATAAACATGTTGAACTTGTGATCCAACACCAGACAACTCTGTTTCGTCTCATCAGTACTGCCAGACTGAACCTTTCAATTGTCCTAGAGAGGAAAAATATGGGTGATGACATCCCTTCTTAAGAAGACGCCACCTATAGTATCGAATATCAAGGATAAACGAGGCTCCCCAAGAAGGTCCGTTGCATAGCCAAGCCATAGGTATCGACCACTGAACGAGATTTGTCCTCTGTCTTTCACTGCAGCTCTCACTGCAAGGTAACTAGATGAACTTCTGTAGAATGTGTAGATTCAATGGTTACTCAAATTTTAAAAAATGTTCACAGTTTAGTAGGAAACGAAATAACATTT